TCTCTCTCTCTGTGTGTCTCTCTGTCTCTCTACGTTTTTTTCTGTCTCTGTCGTTATCTCTCTGTGTCTCTCTCTATCTCTCTCCTTTTCTCTCTCTGTGTCTCTCTCTCTCTGTCTGTCTCTCTCTCTCTGTTTCTTGCTCTCTGTGTCTCTCTATGTGTGTGTCTCTCTCTCTCTCTTTGTCTATCTCTGTGTCTCTCTCTCTCTCTATCTCTCTCTGTGTGTCTCTCTCTCTGTCTCTCTCTGTGTGTCTCTCTCTCTGTCTCTCTGTTTCTGTCTCTCTCTCTCTCTCTCTGTGTGTGTCTATCTTTGTCTCTCTCTATCTCTCTCTGTGTCTATCTCTGTATCTCTCTCTCTTCCTCATTAAAGGTTTGTTTCAACTTTTAGAATACTTAAATAAGCATCTACCTGACCAGACAATCGCACCAAAGCACGTGATAAACCTCTGTCCAAACTTAAAACTTACCGTAACATTCACAACTGTATCACTTTGACGATTTAGTTCAGTAGAGATCAGCAAATCCAGGGCTGAAATGATTCAAATGATTCTAGTGAAGGTGTATGGAGCTTAAAAACACAGTGGAGCACTTCCTGTATTACCACATGACATCGAAGGGGGAACAGTTTCCAGCTTGAGAGAAGAACTCAGCCTGAATATACATTGTGCTGAGAAGAAAATGCCATGATGTATTTTATCTTCACTTACACAACGCTGTCCTTTCAGAATTTCTTCTATGTAGCGTTTTCACAATACAAAACCGTGACCTATTTTACATAGAGAGACACATTCCATTTGAGGTTTTATATATAAAGGCATTATGTATAGAGTGTGTAGAGAGTCGTTGCATTGTCTGTACCTCCACAATGGAACGCTGTGCTAATACATGAGTGCAGTGACCCTCCAGCAGCCGGGGCCCACTCCCTCACTGCTCCACTTCCTGTGAGCGGGCAGAGGCGGGGCTCTGAGCTGACACTGAGCCCTGGAAATGAGAAAAAACTCCATGCATTTGCACCATATAGATCCATAATACGTGATAGGGTTCAGCTTCGCAAATTGCACTTATGGGCTACTCTGTACTTGTCTAGTAAAGATGTCCACGTTCAACTCCAGAGAAGCTATATACAGTGTTCCCTCGTTTATCGCGGGAGTTACGTTCTAAAAATAACCCGCGATAGGTGAAATCCGTGAAGTAGTCAACTTTATATTTTATAATTATTACCTCGCCAAGGAGGTTATGTTTTTGACGACGTCTGTCTGTTTGTCTGTTTGTTTGTTTGTTTGTCTGTTAGCAACATAACTCAAAAAGTTATGGACCGATTTTGATGACATTTTCAGGATTTGTTGGAAATGTGAAAAGGAAGAGCTGATTTCATTTTGGGGGGTGATCCGGAAGAAATCCTGGATTCTGGATCACTTTGAAATTTTAGTTAACATTGTGGTAAATGGGGCCAAAAAATTTTGTTTCTCAATATCTCGGTTAATTATTGACCAAACCCCATGAAATTTGACTCAGGGATGGACAATGGGATCCTCTTTCATATTCCAAAGGCTGATCCAGATCTCATCCAGAAGACTGATTTTATTGCAATTTATATAAAAAATGGGGGTAGTCCTTGGCGGAGGTCTGCGCTCTCTGACTGCTTTTCTAGTTGTATCTGTTTTAAGGCTGTAAAAACTCACCACACACTTTATACATTTTTCTCACACCGGACAGTTACAACCCTTTTTCCATCCTTCTTAAAACGTATTGCTTCTGTCGCTCTTATGTTATTTTCCTCCTTCTTTATGTAACGAACCCAAGATTAATTTATTCTGTAATGGAGCCCTACAGCGCAGAGTCCTGCACTGGTCCATTTTTGGAGACCCGCACAGTACCATTAACCTGAGATTATATCAAACTTTTGTGTTGCATACGCCGTGAACTGAACCAAGATTAAACCAAGACTAAACCAGGACTAAACCAGAACTGAAACAGGAATCACTGTCGGGACAGGCTCGAAGGTGACCGTAGGAGAAAGGACCAGCTCAGCTCCACACCTCACGAAAGGTAAGCACGGCTGTAACCTGATTATGTTTTAAGTCTTGGTTTCAGCAACTATTTGCGGGGACCCAACCCGGTGCAAGACTCTGCTACAACACGTAACTTCTACCTTCCTTCAGCGTGTCCAGAAGTCCAACTTTTTGTGCGATGGTGAGCATCTTCCTCTGCCTTTTGGGCGCGACTGCAGGAGCCTTTGTCAGTGCAGAACGTTTTGTCGACATTGTGGGTTTTGAGAAAACTTGCAAACATACAGCACTTCAGAATCACACTGCTAGATATCAAACATTTATGTAAATTTGGCAGCTGAACACATTCTGTACTGTACTGTACAGGAGACAGGAGTCCCTTAGCACACAAAAAAATCCGCAAAACAGTGAGAAGGTGAACTGCAATAGAGCGAGGGATGACTGTATTTAATTACAATTTCCTAAAGTTTAAGCAATGACACATCTCGGTTAAAGAGATTGCAGTTGTTAAACGCTAAAAGTGACTTGTGTGAGTTGGACGTAAGAAGCTCCAAATCTCTAGGTATGATATTTTCACGATATGTATCTCACGGTACGATATTTATTGCGATATTTTGTGGAGGCTAACAAAACACTACTTTTTCTTCCTAAAATACCTTGAAAAGACTTAACCCAAATAACAAAGTTTTAAAAGTGCTTAGAACTGTTATTTCTTCATGTAGTTTGCACTGAAATGGAGCAAAGGATCATGGTCTATGTAGTTCCCTCTGTTTTTATTTTTTAGCTATTGCTGCACCATAACTCTTAATTTAAGTGAAGATGCACTGTGATGGTCCATGATATTATTGTGAGAACTTTGACGATACAATATCACGATATTTCGGTTATTGTTACATCCGTAGAAGCTCGGCTAAGCTCGTGTTGTGGTGACAGGCAGGTAGTGAAATATACACACTGATCTAGGTAATGCTGTGTAATGATATATTATTACTACATTATTACTTCATATTTGATATAGTTCATGGTTAACCATACTTTTATAAGGTCATTGTCTTTTGTGTGATGGTTTATAGTCTAGTGTCAGGCTCCATTCAGCTGAAATGACATTCTGACGTTTTATATGAAATCATGATGATGAAAAAGTGTTCTTTTTGTCTTAAATTTTTTGTTAGTCAAGTACAGTTTCAAATTGATATCTCTAAATTTCACATATTTTCCTATTCACCTGTGTCTCACCTTAATTTCTGTTTGGATTTGAACAAAAGTCCAGACTGTTGAAGCGCCCTATCAATGGCCCATCTAAAAGTGTGAAGTATGAATGAGAGGACAGGAGGGCACAGGTGCTTTAAAGAAATACCAGGCTCTGTTTTGCTCTGTGCTTTTCGTGCTTCTCCATAAAAGCCTAATTAGACTTCAGAGTGGTTAGAGGAGCATTTAAAGCTGCTATGGCAAAATACTGAATAAATGAGTTATTGCATGAATAAAGAGGCTAAAATGTGCACCTCCACCTGACCTCAGTGAGAAGGCAAAATAAAACAAATGGATTAAATATGTGACTTTTTGGAGGAGCCACTTCACCTGCAGAATTCCATAGAAATAGAAAGTTAAAATCTAAATTATAGCCAAAGAAACAGAAGCGAGTAATAAGAGGCCAAGTATGCATCAGGTTTGTGGAGATGCAAGCCTATTCTAAGTAAGAAACCACATTTTCTATATGTTTTTGGTGCAATAAATAGGACCAAGAAAAAAAAAAAAAAGCTTTATTTCAATCTGTCTGGCAAAAAAGTTCTAGCCTGATTCATCAGCCGGTTTCACTTGGTTTCACTGTCTGACAATAGAATTTGTTCACTCGACAGTAGGCGAATATTTTTTTCATTTAACCAATCGCTGCTATTTGATCATGACCTATGGGTCTGGACAAGCGGTAACGGAGGGAAACGGGCAGATTTTTGACATTCAAATAGCTCTTATTCAGGAACTAGAGGGACTATTGAAATAAGTAAAGTATCAGAATGTAGGAAAGAGTTACACTCCAACAGGGTCAAGTTAAACCTGTGATATTCTTTCAAGTTGTTGACAAAAAATTTAACAACTCATGTCGGTAACGGAGGGAATGAAATATGCAGCACTTTTTGGGCAATAAATCCAAACAGTGATAACTCTTGGTTCTCACTTACATATCCTTAACAAACTGGTTTGAATATTTGCTTCATATAGTTTTCTACCATATGGTACAAGATTAGGTTGAAAAACCTCTTACTTTTTGAGTAATGAGATTTTTTATTAAGAAAGGTCATGGTAACGGAGGGAAAAGTAACGGAGGGAAAATTGTGCAAACAAGTAGAAGGTGCAGGATTTTACATCATTATCATCATTTATTCTTCCGAATACATTTTTACTTCAAAATGAAAGGAAACTATTTCATATAAAATATGTCAGTCCTTCCAACCGGGCTAAATTTTTTAATCTTTTTAAATAACACATAAAAAATTTGCAGGTCTTTGATAATTTTGCACTTTTTTGCGAGTTTTTGCGAACAGTCTTGTGTATTCAGATTCCTGACCTAGTCGCTGGAGAGAAATTAAATTGAGTGGAGGCACTAGTGGTGCCAGCCTGGCTAAAAAAGTTCCATACTGCTGCTTTAATTTAAAAACATTAGATGTTCATTACACAAACTATCAGAAAACTGTCAAAAAAACATACGAAATCAAAAAGACAGGAAAATTTGGTGTGCACATTGGAACACAACTCATTTTAGAAGGCATATAAAATAAAAAAATAAATATATTACAAAATGAAATAAGAACAAAACAGTGGTGAAAATGGGAGTTGATGAAAAATCTTGACAATAAGTGATCAAAGATTGCACAAATCAGTCTAAATACGACTTTCGAGAATGTAAATTGTGAGGAGCAACATTTATACATCTGTCTATCTTTAGTCGATTTTGCAGAAGAGGTCGGCTTTAAAAACTTCTTCTTCTCTGTTCCAGCACACAGAGCCACGTCCTGGAGCTGATGGAGGAGCTGGGTCTGGAGACTTACCGACAGTTCAACACGGGGAGGAAGGTGCAGCACATGGGAGGGCCCCTGGCTAGAGTGCGCTCCTACACCTCCAATTTCCCCACTCTGTCCCCTCTGGTGCTACTGGACTTCAGCCTCCTCCTCTTCAAGGTCTGGACTCTCAGATTAGTGTGGGGAAAACACACTGAGTGATTTCACGGGAGATGTTAAAGGTGCATTGTGTAACTTTTTTGTTCCATCAGACACTTTTTCTCCATGGAGGTATTAGTTATGTCTTTGTCTGGAATGTTTCACAGTGTGGTATTAAACCAGGGGTCCAACCTGTAGCTCGGGAACTCTCCAGTCTGTTCCAAGTAGCTCGCCAAGGGATTTCTGAATTGTACGTTTGTAAATGTATGATTTTGATGCCTAATTTTGTGCTGATTACTGAATAGTGGGTAATGTTTTAAAGGCGTCTAACCTCATCTAAGGCTCACCACAGCTCTTATATTTACAAAATTTCTAGCGACCACTAAAATGAGTAGCTCTCTTTCGTTTTACAAAAAGTAGCTCACAGGAGGAAAAAGGTTGGAGATCCCTGTATTAAACCTTTTTAGCTTCATGGAGACCAAACCAGGCCAAGTTACGAATCAGAACTGTGGAGAGGCGACCCCACTCACAGTCAGAATTCCTGTTTTTCTAGGTATTTTTAAAGCTATAAAAACACTTGTAATTGAATACATGTAAGGTAGAGCTGTTTAATGTCATACTCCGGAACATTCCAGACAGAGCAATTACATATCCATAGAAACAAGCAAGTGATGGACCCCCAACCAAAATGTTACATAGTGCACCTTTGAGACTTTTTGGAAGTTGCATGGTTGAGATTACTGAGTCTGTGAGGTTCTGAGACTGGACCAGTAAGTTATTTCATCATTAAAATGTCACATAAAAACAGAGGGAGGACCCAAAATGCAGGACTACTTCAAAGCATTTAATGACAAATCAAAAAAATCCAAAATTTGAAACTAAACTGCCATGACACAAGACAAGATGAAACTCTGACAGAGACAAAGGCAACAAAAGGCAGAGGAGAACACAGGGTATAAATGCACACAGACACAAGTGAAACACATTAGGGCGGGGCAAACAATCAAAACAGGAAGTAAAACTTAAAACTACAAGCAGACACAACAAATGTCAAAATAAAACACCAAAATGAGCAAATTCAACCACTACAAACATGAACCATGACATAGAAACCCATATGTTGTTTATATGTCTGCGCAATTGAATGAAGGTAAAATAATATAACATATTATAATTTACACTAGCTTCAAAAATAGCTTTTAACTAAATTCAAATGTTGATTATTAATTTTCATAATGGAAAATAACAATTTAAACCAAACAAGGAGACAGACGACACAGATGAAGGACTTTTGTCCTGAAGGCTGTTACTCCCCTCAAACTGCCCTGACACTGGATCTGAATATTCTACCCGTTGAGACATTTGTTTGAGCTTTCTGTTATTGTTGTATTTTCCGGCTCAATGTGCTTAAACTATAGCCATGCTGATGCCACCCAGTGCGTCCCCTCAGTTTCATTTTTCTCCAGCGTCTAAGTCAGGAATCAGAATACAGTAGGCGGTTTGCAAAAACCCCAGAAGTTGTAGACTGCACACCTACCAGTCAGAGAAGTGCTGTGAAGCCATGACGTCAAACTCAAGCACCTGTCTGGGTTCCTTTTGTGGTACAGCACAACAGTAAACAAAGCGGTACAGATGGATGTAGACGAAGACAGACATTCTGTGTTGACAACAATTCCCGAGATTGAGGATTTAGCTGGAGCAAAGAGAATGTTTTATCAAGGGGAAAGACGTTATTGCCCTTCTTCCTACGGGATTTGGGAAAAGCTTAATATACCAGTTAGCCCCGCTAGAGGTGCATTACATATGACTCAACCAAACAGCAGCGATTGGTTAAATTAAAAAAGTACCTGGCTGCTGTCAAGCGAACAAATCCTAATGCTGTGAGGTCAGGCTGATGAATCAGGCTACTTAAACTGCCCCTCTGGGACAGATGAAATGACATTGACTGGTTGCTGGATTTTGAATGGGAAAAAAAGCCTACATGTTACATACAAAATGAAGTTGAAACCTATGAAGAGTTCAACTACTTTTTATCTCAGTTGACCAACCACAATTATTTATATAACGCTGCTACGTTATAATGCTTTTCCCTCCTCAAAAACACTCCTGGAGTTGTGTTTTGTTTCATTCACTTTCCTGTTTTAGTTATCCTTTATTATTAGTCTGTCATCGCCAAAGTCAAAATGCTCTGTTCTACCTTGTGATGTCAAGAAGCGGTAGTTTTCAAGTCAACAGAGATGGTCAATTCCAGGATTGAAATGCTCCAATAATTCTAGTAAAGGTGTATGGAGTTTAGAAACAGTGAAGCGCTCCCTGTCTTACCATACAACATCATGTTTCCTGTTTGAGAGAAAGCCTAAATATTCAGGGTATGCATTAAACATGTGTGAATGAAACAAAACACAACTTCAGGTCTGTTTGTGATGAGGAAACAACATTATAACATAGATCAGAAAGTAGCGTAATATGGTTTTCCCATTTTTTTGGTTATTGGTTCCCCCAGCAGTACAGTATACAGAGCACATGCTTACTTACTGAGACAATGAAGTTGCCCTTATTTACCTTGTAATAATTTGGCCCGACATTAGAATTTTAATATCATTCAGCTGGAACATCTTTATTAAACATCTCTTTTAATTTTTGTCTCCCCTGAAGCTGCATATTGGATCCTAATTGCTAATTTCATTATGGATAAACAAGTTATTAAAGGCAATTTAACCGACACACAGGTGCTGTTTAATTGCCTGTTTCAATGCCCCATTTAGAGTATAAAAAAAAGGATGTCTCAAAATCCCATGTGGTTTTGACTTAAAAAGGGTGTATTTTAATTATATGGGGTATTAACTGCTAATTCATAACATATTTAGATTACCATGCCACCTTTTAGAGTTGAAAATCCTATATTGACTGTAAACACCATATAAATGTAATATGTTTCATTATCATTTTGACCTTCCATTGCTCTCCACACTAAGACTCCCCCTTCAAATTGCTATTGTGCAGAATTCGCATGCATCCCGCTAATTAAACTACTACACATCGCATCAGGTTTGTTGCTGTGTACAGTTTTGTGTCATGTTTTTGTATATTTATGGACAATTATTGTGTGGGAGCAAGGGTGATGTGCTTGTGGGCTGAGTGTTTCTAAACACTCAAACATACATGGATGATTCTTAAAACCTCTTCAGGCATGTTTTTAATAAGGGAACAACGTTGGTGGAAAGCTAAAATAAATCAATTATGCATAATACTCCCTCTTTAAATACCCTGTACCAGATTTTCCCCCATGTTACTGAGCAAAATGTGTCATCCCCCAGTGCAGCTATACTGTACAAACAGATCAAAACAGGTCAAAGTAAGTCAGCTGTGTGCTGTCTACAACGAATTATAAAGCATTTTTGTTGTTGTGTAGTTGTTATGAGTTGTTACTGCCAAAGCAAATCTCTACTCTGGCCTCTGAAAGTTGTGAAAAGTGCTCATCACATTGAGGTGAAAAGATGCTTGCATGCCTATCTTGGGTATTTACTGCTACCCCCAGATAGTAAATTCTAAGTGGAAATATGACTATCTCTAGATGACACAGTGAAAACCTCAAAATCTATTTAACCAAATCAAAATTTGACAATTGTGCCTCATTGCAGCAGATCCCACCACAGAAATGTTCTCCTCAAATTCAAACTGAGAAGAGGGTCAGTTCTTGTTTCCTTTGGATGCCCACACTAACTTAGTTGCCCTTTGTCCACAGGTTAACAGATTATGTGCCACAGTGAACGTTCATGAGCCCTCCCTCACCCCCAACGCAGAAGAGTTAGACAGTATGACCATGCACTCCTTCATCCAGCAGCACGCCTGGACACAAGGTGAGACTCTCTGTACGCCTGGGACACAAGTTGAGACTCAAACTACACCTGGACACAAGGTGAGACTCAAACTACGCCTGGACACAAGGTGAGACTCACTAAACGCCTGGACACAAGGTGAGACTCAAACTACGCCTGGACACAAGGTGAGACTCTCTGTACGCCTGCACACAAGGTGAGACTCTCTGTACACCTGCACACAAGGTGAGACTCTCTGTACGCCTGGACACAAGGTGAGACTCACTCTACGCCTGGACACAAGGTGAGACTCACTCTACGCCTGGACACAAGGTGAGACTCACTCTACGCCTGGACACAAGGTGAGACTCACTATACACCTGCACACAAGGTGAGACTCTCTGTACACCTGGACACAAGGTGAGACTCTCTGTACACCTGGACACAAGGTGAGACTCTCTGTACACCTGCACACAAGGTGAGACTCTCTGTACGCCTGGACACAAGGTGAGACTCTCTGTACACCTGGACACAAGGTGAGACTCTCTGTACACCTGGACACAAGGTGAGACTCACTCTACGCCTGGACACAAGGTGAGACTCTATGCATTTCTATAGCAGCAGTGTTACTGCTCTACTACATTAAACTACAATTAAACTTCATAAAGTATTTATAGTATAGTATATTGCAGCAGGGGGAGTTTTGTGTTAGGTGGAGAAAGTGTTTTTATTTTGCTTGATTTTTTTAACTCCTAAAGGTCCTATATTACACTAAATTGACTCTTGTGAGCTTTAAGACATGTTAGAATGTTGTTACCTCATCAAAAACAGACCTGGAGTTGTATTTTGTTTCATTCATACATGTAATTCACAGTCATCCTTTATTATTATTACTCTGTTTCCATGTCCAAAGCTCAAAATGCTCTGTTCCACCTTGTGATGTCATGAAGCTGTATTTTTCAAGTTAACAGATACGTTTTACCTTTTGTTTTGTAAAGATTGGCAATTGCAGGGCTGAATGATCAAAATGATTCTAGTGAAGGTGTATGGAGTTCAAAAACACAGTGGAGCACTTCCTGTATTACCACATGACATCACAAGGTGGAACAGAGTGTTTTCTGTTTGAAAGAAGAACATAGGCTAAGTATGTATGGTTTCTGTGTTAAACATGTGTGAATGGAACAAAACACAACTCCAGATCTGTTTGTGATGAGGAAACATTATAAAATATCAGTGCAATTGTTTTGATGGATTATATTGAGTCCACTGGGTAGTTCTCCATTTGCTTGTTTTCTAATGAATGTTGGTTAGTCTTTCTGTTTGTTATTGATCAATGTGTGTTTCACTGTTGGATTTTCTAACTTTCTGTTGGACAAATCAACCATTTTGTGAAGCCCCGTGAGGCAACTGCTGTTGTGGTTTTGGGCTCTACAAAAATAACTTTCATAGAATTGAATGGTGTTACACGGAAAATGTGGTTGTTGCATTGTTATTAGAAATGTTCCTGTCCAGTCAGAACCACACGCTTTGATAAAACTTTATAAATATGTTTGGTTTGGTACTGTATCCTGTTTCCTCAATTACATGTGGAAAAGGGGGAAAAAATAACAAAGGACTAAGAAACAGTGGATTGTTACAGAATCACTCAACCAAAGCACCAAACTCTTATTTATCTCAAGTAAAAGAAGTTACCATAATTTCCGAACTACACGGTCTATGCTTTGGCAACATCTCTAACGGAGCGCCCAACCACCCTGCCACATTATAACATACAGTAGAACAGAAAATAGATTAATGAGTGTTTAAATAATGAACAGAGTGTGAACAGTAATAGTGATACGTGTGTGTTTGTTGTGCAGAGCTGAAGGAGGAGCTGGGCGTGTGCTCTCGCTCAGTGTGGGGGGTGGAGCCTGCTCAGATGTCTCTGCTCTTCTTCCTCATGTCCGCTGCTGCTGCTGGAGGAGTGTTGCCTCTGCTGGAGACCACACCAGGAGCAGCACAGGAGTTCAAGATTAAAGTGTGTATATGACTGATTATTGCCATTCTCTCATTTTGACTTAAATATAAAAATATAAATTATGGTTTTACACAAATCAAGAGGCAATATGTGAAGAAAAGTTGACAAATATGTTCTAAAGCACATTAGAGAGAAATCTTAGGTGCAGTTTACATTCAAGATTTTATTTTTTTTTTTATTTAACATTTATTTTGTTTTCATATATTAAAGGGACACTCCAGAATTTTGGACATAGGACCTCATTTCCTATTGGGCCAGAGTGTTGGAGACGTGTGGAGACACTTTTTAAAATATTCCATCCAGTCCTTGTATTGGCAGAGGTCGCTGGTGCTAGGCTAGTGCATGTCAATGGCCATAGTTAGCCTGCCACTAAAAACAGTCTTACCCACTCCATAAAACACCCTGGAAGCAAAAATATTATTACACCAGACTGTCCATGTAAATGTCTGTGTTGATAGAATAATTTTAAAAGTAAAACCAACCTTGGATTTGAAGGATTTATGTCTGAGCAGCAGCAGTGAGTTGTACTTCCTGATAGAAAGCTTGGCGGCAGCGTACTGATATCACCTAGCACCTATTGTAGCGGCAAAGTAAAATTCCGCTGCTGCTGAGAAAATAGTCCCTCAACATGAGACGATTCATGCGACGCAAGGTTGCAAGGTCTGCAAATACAAGGACTGCATGGAATATTTAAAAAAGTGTCTCTGTCACGATTCATGTTTTGTAGTCGTTTTTGCTTATTTTGGTGTGTCTTTTTTCTTTAGTGTTGTGTGCCCTTTTATTTTGACATTTGTCCTGTCTGCTTGTAGTTTTGAGTTTTACTTCCTGTCTTGATTGTTTTCCCCGCCCTGATGTGTTTCACTTTTGTCTGTGTGCATTTATACCCTGTGTTCTCCTCTGCCCTTTGTTGGTCCATTGTATTTGTCATTGTCTGTGTCTTTGTCATTGTCTTGTCCTGTCATGTCACTTTAGTTTAATTATTTTATTTTTTTTTTGTTGATATTTTGGCTCTTTCTTTGTTTGTTTGTTAAAGAAATTTAAAAGCAGTCCTGCATTTTAGGTCCTCCCTCTGTTTAATCTTGACAGTCTCCACACATCTCCAACACTATGGCTAACTAGGGCCCCGTCCACACTAGTACGTATTCGTAATTCATTTGAGTACAGATCTGATCCAGCACTGACGCTTGAAAACGCTGATACGCTGATGTAGTTCTATGCACTGCGAAGTAATTCAGAGGCTAGAATATATGTCCATTCATATTTACGTTATATGTGTACGACCTGCAGACGTATAATCTCTGAAAAGTTTAACACGAACCATCTCTAACGCGACAGAAGCACAGAACAGACTCACCATCAGCAGAACATCCCTCTGTCACAGAAAGAACACTCATAATCCACTGAGTCGTGTCCTTTAGTCCGACAGAAGCTGAACCGCATCAGAGCAGAATAGTGAGCTGTTTTTTGAGCTCAGTTTATGCAAATTAGCCATGCGGTTTTAAGTGTCGTTTCTGTAAAACGTAAACAAATATGCTCAAAGCTGTGTGGATAGGGAAGGCTTGCGGACACAGAAACATGTCTGGATGCAGATATTTTTCGATACGGTGATACAGTGATACGCGGATTTGTTTCAGTGCGAATGTAGTCTAGGAAATGAGGTCCTATGTCCAAAATTCCAGACTGTCCCTTTAAAATATGTCAGATAATGAGGAAGTAATGAGGCGACAGTGGCTCAGTAATTAGGATCCCACAACCCGAAGGTCGAAGGTGCCATTCTGTCACTTCACATCACATTGCTTAGTCTCAAAGTGGTGTTTCAGTCTGTCCCAGGGTAGCTGTGGCTACAGTAGTAACTTACCACCACCGAGTGTGGAATGAATGAAGAATGACTCCAGTGTAGCGCTGTGAGAGCTTTTGTCAAGCCTTTGTAAAGCGCATTACAGGTCACATTGTTTTTATTTTATTTTTTGTTATTTTAGTTCTTCTACACTGCAAACCCCTACTGTCTTGGTAAACTAAATGCTTAATGGTAAATTTATTTTTTTTGTATTTTTAATGTTATTTTTTGGAGGTTCAAAACATCTTTTTTTGTTTTGTTTTTCGTTTGTTCTTTTACACTGCCAAACCCCTACTGTCTGGATAACTAAATGCTTAATGCTAACTTTATTTTATTTCTTTTCTTTTTTTTTTCATAGGTTCAAAACATAACACTTCTTCACTTTTTCTTTTCTTTTTTTTTGTTCTTTTATACTGAAAACCCCTACTGTCTGTCTTAACTAAATGCTTTCCACTAACTTTATTCTATTTATGTATTTTTTATATTATTTTTCAGAATTTCAAAACATTATTCTTTTTATTCTTTCTACACTGAACCCCCTGCTGTCTGGCTAACTAAACCCTTTCACTCACATCTCGAAAACAACATCCATACACAAGTCCCCGCGCGCAGTTCCCCCCGGCGTCCATGCCCAGCGGGCCTGCGGCGCGTGTGCAAGTCTTCTAAAGTGTCATCTCTGCTCGTCCACAGGGGGGCGCCCAGCAGCTGAGCGAGCGCCTGGCCGACCTCGTGGGCAGGGAGAACGTCCGGCTGGGCTGCGCCGTCAGGGCCGTGCGGCAGGTACAGTACGGTAACGTGTCACAGCGGAGGGAGGGGGGCACGCAGAGAAGAGCTGCCTCGTGGGGGGTGGAGAAGAAGGAGGTTGTCTTCTGTCTTCTGCTCCGTAGCACACAGACGCAATATAAATGAATACAGGGAGTTCATACAGGTGGTTGAAACCCCAAGTGTTCAACTACCCTCCACCAGGGAAGTTGCGCAATGCACCTTTAAAGCCACAGTATGTAACTTTTTAGCAAAAAATCAGCAAAGATAAAAATATGAAGAAGTAAATGGTAATTAAAGCGCTCGCTGGATCACCGCTGAAGTAAAATAATAAGAGATCAGGTGCTCTTCGGAGATCCCAAGTGGGCAAATGACTTACTGGATAAAAAAAGGGAGATCCAAGGCACTTCGATATGCTTTGCTATGATTTTATTTCAAAGATAAAAATGTGTTTTATTTTGCATTTTAGTTTGTGTTTAGTGTGTTTAGTTGTTTAGTTGTGTTAAACATGTGTCCTTACTGTGAGCAGGCTTGCATCTCCACAAACCTGACTCTTATATTTGGCCTGGAAGATGGTGCTCTCCTGCTTCTTTCCATGTTGTTTCTTTGGCTGTTTATCTCCATGGAGAATGTTCTGAAGTATGATTTTGACTACGTGTACATTAACACATTTTTTAGACCCCATTTACACTGAAACGAATCCGCGTATCACCATATCAGAATATCGGAAATGATCTGCGTCCAGACACGTCGTTTCTGGATCCGCAATTAAAGTGTTCCCTGTCCACACAGTAACGCAAAACCTCCTGAAAAGCTAGTCACGTGATAGGCTGGTGTCACATCATCAGGATGTCCTGACGTCACGTGAGCGGTAAAAACAAGGAAGTCTGAAGTTGCAACAGCTGATTTTGAGCCAAGGGAGGTGGTTTTTTCATGAACTGATGATGAGGTTCAGTTGTTGCTTAGCGTAACACTGGATTTTAAGACGAGCATGGCGGCTCAGAGTGAGGACTGACTCGTTTCTGTGTCCACAAGTCTTCCCTACACAGCTTTGAGCATATTTGTTTACATTTTATAGAAACGACACTTAAAACCACATGGCTAATTTGCATAAACTAAGCGCTCAAAAAACAGCTCCTTATTGTAGACCGTATATATGAATGGACATATATTATAGCTTCTTAGCATTTTCGCCCTGAATTAGCTACTTCACGATGCATACATCTACTTTGCGATGCATACATCTACATCAACATTTCAGTGTACCAGCGTTTTGAGGCATCCACACAGTGCCAGATCAGATCTGTACTCAGATGAATGCTGGCGGCATCAGATTGTTACGTCTCTGGAGCCATTTTCAATCAGATTAATTTGGACGAACACTGCATCCACAACGAAAACGATTCAAATACGTACTAATGTGGACGGGGCCTTAGCCTGAGCAGCCAGTTCCTTCTACATTCTGTTTGAATCCAGAATAGGGTCGTTCCGATGACCCAACATCACAATGGAGAGCTGCCATCGTGATGCCACGCCCCCTCCTGTCAGAAAAACACACTGATCTTCTGTAGGTCTAGTTAACCTAAAAAAAAACTTTGCAGGGTTTGAACTGTAAATGAAATCACAAATATTACTAATGTGCACTCTAGTTTACGTAACCTGCCAGAGACATGATGTGTTAGTCTATGAAAATACCATGTGGCTACACAAATAATTATTAATAATCTATTCTTATTAATCTATTATTGATCTAATTTTTTAAAAATTATTATTATTAATTTTTTTTTACGTGTCTTTCACACATATATCTATCTATTCTCTATCTATACATCTATACATCTATACATATCCAGCTTCTGCTCAACTTTTGGCAGTGGAACTGGAACAGCATTCTAAAGACTTGGACAAGTATTCACAGTTTTAACACCAGGTGAAAAAAGACTTATGAACCTTGAAGTAGCACTGAGAAATGATTAGCAGCTGAGGAGAGACTTTGAAAAATAAGTGGAGACAGAAAAAAGAAAAGAAAAAAAAAGAACTGAAGGAAAAGTTCTGTTTGTTAAGTACATGATGCCTTTGAAGTAAATCCAACTGAAGAAATGTAACGTCACTACCATGTTTTTTGTTTGTTTGTATGTTATTTTGTTCTTGTTTGGATGATTTCCTTTGACACAATTTTAATTAAGGTTAAAAAAAAAAAAAAAACTAACGAAAAAAAAAACAAACCAACTACTTCAACTCTTTTTGACTTTTATTTAATTTGATATATTTTTTACAAGTACGTAAGCAGGGACACAGTTATTTTGGTGTTTTAAAGGTGCACGGTGTAACTTTTTGGTTGTGGGTCTGTCATCTGCTTGTTTCTATGGATACGTCATTGCTCTGCCTGGAATGTTCCACAGTATAGCATTAAACAGCTCTACCTTACATTTATTGAATTACAGGTGGTTTTATAACTTGACAAAACCTAGAAAAACAGGCATTCGGATTGTTAGCGGGATCGCCTCTTTGCAGATCTGACCTGTAACTTGGCCTGGTTTGGTCTACCATACTATACATACAGACAAAGCAGTAACACCTCCGTGGAGAAAAGTTTTTGACGGACATTCCACCAAAAATGTTAAGTATGTGTTAATGTTAAATGTAAAGTGTACCTTTAAGTCATAAATGGTACTTCATTTTCCTTCTCCCACTGAATGCATCATCAAGGGCCTGATTTACGAGAGACAGATTTTCAGATTGATTACATTGTACTTTCCCGTAAAATATCCAAAACATAAATTCACAAATGTTGAAACTGATGATTTTATTAAGAGCCAAAGACTCACTGTATCAGAACAAAAAAATCGACATCTGTATTATATAACTTTTTGGTTGAGGATCCATCACCTGCTTGTTTCTATGGAGATGTCGTTGCTCTGCCTGGAATGTTCCACAGTATGACATTAAAGAGTTACAGGTGGTTTTATAGCTCAAAAATACATCGAGCAATAGACATTCTGACTGTATGCATGGTTGCCTCTCCACAGAGCTTGGTAACTTGGTATAATGATCTCCATGATGATAAAAAGGTTTAATGCCATGCTGTGAAACATTTCAGACAAAGCAATAACACCTCTGTGAAGAAAAGGATTTGATGGACCCTCCGCCAGTAAAGTTACACAATGCACCTTTAACATTAACCTTTAACAACACTTGATTAACGTTTTAAAGTAATTATACTTTTCAGAGTATCCTCAACAGCATACTTTTGCTCCTACTCGAGTAATATTTTGTTGAAGTAACAGTAGTCTTACTTGAATGAAAGTTGTGGCTCCTCTTCCCCCTATGAGTAAGTCTACAGTAAATGGTCACATTTTTATGTAGTGCCCAGACACTAAGGAGGTGGTGGGTGAGGGTCTTGCTCAAGGACACAAGGGCAGCTTTCACTGATGGCGCCGCCGACCTGTGGGCCAGTGGATCCGACCGCTAAACCAACGATGTTTATGTCGAGAGAGGGATTCAAACATCCAAAATTCAGATCAGTGGACAAACACTCCACCAACTACAAGTGACAGAAGCTTTATGTGGACATGAAATGATTTGAACACTTGTATTTCTTGCAGCATTCCTTCAGATAAGATTTAGGCTATGTTTATATGATGACGGTCTGAACAGAAGACACAAAAGTGGCGTCTCGTCTTCACTTTTTATTCTGCGTTTAGACAAGTGTTTTTGGAAGGAAAGCTGTGTGCTTACGGTGATGCAGAAATGTGTGAAATTCGACTGGGTGTGCATGCCATCTGACATGTTTGTTTCTGTGTACTGTATGTATGTGACGTAAACATATACGCGACGTGAGAAGATCTGACCAGAGTTTTGCGTCTTGGGCAGTGTAGACAGAAACACGATGGTGGAGCATATTCAGCTTTTCCACTCTGGAGGTTGTTTTCAGATTTTTGCGTTTTAAGCTGCAAAAATATAAACATTTGATAAAATATTTTGCCGTTTTTACCTGCAAGCATTCTTGTTTAAACAGGCCCTTAGTTTGTCTCATTTTATTTTGTCTCTCTCCATTGAAAATACCAGAGTATGTGCATTATCTGTTCTTAACATTACATGAACTTCAAATTATAAATCAGATGTTACATCCTGACTCTTTAAGTTACTCTTATTTGAGTATTTCCTTGGACCACTACTTAATGTACTTCTACTTGAGTAATATAATTGTGAAGTTACGTTACTACAATTTTTGAGTACTCTACCCATCTCTGATCACGATTAAGAAAATACAATTGGAGAACGGAGCAATGATATCTTAATACAGGAGAATAAAGTTTACTCAAACATGCACAAATCACTCTTAGTAAGGGAATAGTGGGAAACAATTATAATATGATTACCGTATTTTTCAGACTGTAAGTCACATTTTTTTTCATGGTTTGGGTGGTCCAGCGACTTATACTCCGGTGCAACTTAGATATTAAAATGTTCACACTGACAGACACGAGAGGGCGCTGTAGTCTTGTGTGTCAGTATCTGCTACTCCTGTTACTCCTGTACCACCATCCTGCAGAAAGAGCCTCTGTCCTGTCTGTATCATGTCATTCGATTGCATCATTACTTCTGTACCACTGAATATTTAACATTTAAACAAACTTATAAAGACGACTGAGAAAACTGAACACAAATGCCCCCAAAAGAAAATCAGATTACATGCTGCAAGTAGAGAAATCTGCAGCCGAAAACGGTAATTGAGCAGCAGAAAGAAAGTTTGGAGTGAGCGAGAAACTTGTGACAACCGGGAGGGTGCACCATGCAACTTTCCTGGGAGTCATTGGGTGGACTAACAAAGCAGTGACAACTGAAACCATCCTGTTGGGATTCAGAAAGACCAGACTACAGCGACGCAGAAGAGGAAGCAACTCTCCGTTTACCTACAGAGGTCACAGAGTTGCTCAGAAGTGACACGAGGATGACGAATTCAATGGATTTAGTGATTTGGAGTGAGATGGAGAGTTTGGTAAACTTATTCTGTTCTGTTGTTTATGCTATAGTTACTGTATTTTCTATTAGGCGCTCTGGATTACAAGGTGCACTGTCATTAAATGGTCTATTTTCAAACGTTTTTCACAAATAAGCCGCACCGGACTTTAAACGAAACACAACAGTTGGATGGGTCAGTGGGACTTTGTTTGTGGCGTTCACGGTGACTCTGGGCTTTGTTCAGTTGTGGCGTGTAGGGAGGGTGCTGTCTGGGACCGCTGGATTGTTGGCGTGTTCGCAGTGACTCAGTTGTTCAGTTGTGGCTCAGAGTGACACATCGCACTCGTTTTTTCGGTTCGTTCCTCTGTTCATCGTCCGCGTGGAGTGATGAGTGTGACTGCGGGTGTTTTTCGCTGTGCGGTCGCTGTCTGCTCCGTGCGTGTTTGCGTGCGCTGCGGGTGGTGTGGTTTGGTGGTTTACTGAAGTCATGCTGGGCCACCCGAGTGGATTCATGTATAGGGCGCTCTGGCTTGCGGGGCACGCGGTCATTTTTGGATGGGGTGCGAGGTTTAAGAGCGTGTATAATAGCCCGGAAAATACGGTATCTGAAGAACTGTTGTGACGTTAACAGTCTGTTGTTTTCTGTTCTATTGTTATACTTACACTTTGGAACAACTTCTAGTCCGAAAAATACGTTATCTCTTAAAAGTCAATTTTGCACAATATATCTCCTTTAAATTGGCCTGATCCTCAACCACACTTAGCTTGAGTTCTTCTCTCAAACAGAAAACACCCTGTTCCACCTTGTGATGTCATGTGGTAATACAGGAAGTGCTCCACTGTGTTTTTAAACTCCATACACCTTCACCTCCACACCATTTGGACAATTTCAGGCTTGGAATTGCATTTTGAGATTTTGGAGATGTAGAGAGACTAATAATAAAGAGTTACTCAAACAACTCAGGAGGTAACAACATTCTAACATGACTTAAAGCTCAAAGAGTCAATTGTCTGGAATATAGGACCTTTAACTGAGAGAGACTATTATTTCAGACGGTGTTCAGGGCAGTGCAGTAGTTATTTTCCAGACACTTTAACCAGTGCCTTAGCTGGGTTAGTTAGACTTCTTCTCTTGTTTTGCCAGTCTCTCCCTTCTGTTTGTGAAGCTAGTCTCAGCAGTCCCTCAGCGCTCCTTGTGGTTTCACCCCTCACATTTTAGCCTCTCGGTGACAGGTGCTGCTCTTATTGGCAGACAAAGTTGACACATTCTCACTCACAGCTCATGGGCAATTTAACTGGCAACTCAACTGAACCCACCACAGAGCAGAGGACAGGACACTGCTGAGGTTATGTGAGGATATTTACATGGGGTTTATCAAAGGAATTTTGAATTATTTGACTTTGAAACTATGGTATGATAGTGTATATATTGCATTTATTCTACGTTATCATTGCAAAAAAAAAAAAATAAATAAAAATAAGTAAATAAAATATCTTGAAAATTGTGTGTGGGTCTTGCGTTTCTTCAGTTATGACCTGCAACTTGGCCTTTTGGTGTCATCAGCTTGTCTCCACAGAGATGAAGAAGTTTAAAGGGATAGTTTGGGCTTTTTGACATGAATCTGTATGGCATCCCCATCAGCAGTGTTGTGCATCCACAAAGACTCATACTGGCTGGTTTTGGTGCTGATGAAAGTAGTCCGGCAAGTTGGCTGGGGACATGAAAATAAAGCATTTTTGTGTGTTCAAAAGAGTGATACATTTGCATCACAAAACCTTTCTCCTCGAAAAAGTCAGACCTCATAATCGCTTGGCACTATTTTCTCTCTGTTTGTATCACTGCGCGCTGCCGCCAGGTGACAGCCGCGCCTGTTTCACTTTGTTCACTGCTCGGAATGTTAGCGACAACATGTCTGATTACGACTTATTGAAGACCTTGCCTTTGGCACAAAGCCAAGGGGAGATCTTTATGACCACAAATATACTGATGCTGAAAATCGCCAGATGGAGTCAGAATGTGCAGAGAGAGAAGAGAGACAGAGTAGTGGTACAAGTTAAAGCTGGAGCCACAGCTGGAGCCATGATAGACCAGGTGACCAACACTCACCCATCACGTCATTTATAAACTCGTGTCCAGCGAACATAGAGCCTACACTGTGACTGGAAGCATGGACTACTAATAGAAACACAGAATCATCCACACGTCCACGTAGTCCCTGACAGTAATAATAACAGTCTACATATCACGTTGTGTTTTGTAGAAGCTTCATTGGTAATATGACACTGAGTGATTTGCGGCACACAACATTACTAGCTGATTCTTAATTGCCTGTCCGCTTCTAAACAGAGCGGCACCTCTTTGTTCTTACCTGGGGTGCAGGTACAGCAGTGCTCTTCTAAACAAATTTTTTCCTTTGTCCTGGGAATGAAGGAACATATCTTTGTCGCTGAATTGCACACTGCACACATGAAGCTTTTTTATCTTTGGTTTCCACATTGAAGCCTAAGGCAAGAAACCAAAGTTTCCTCAGCGCAAAGTCCGTGACAGGAAAATGGTGAAATGTGTGTGGAGATTCAGCCAGATTTTTGTTGTTATAGCCAGGATAATCACAAGTCTGCACCATTTTTTTGGATATATTCTTATATAGCTTATACAAGCTTAGCTCGCTCACGTCGCAGTGGTCTGAGCACATAAACATTGCCAAAAAGCTGAAGAAAGTGATGGATCCGTGCGTGGCTGACACCTGGCGGTGCAGTGCAGTGCACCACACGCAGTGATGCGAACGGAGAGAAAATAGTGCCAAACGATTATGAGGTCTAACTTTTTTTGACAAAGGTTTTGTGATGCAAATGTATGACTCTTTTGGACACATATTGTTTTGAGAAGGAAAACGCTTTATTTTAATGTCCCCAGTCAACTTGCCGGACTACTTTCTTCAGTACTGAAACCGGCCAGTATCTCGGCTCACCAGACGCTGTCGGGGTTAAGTCAGTGTGGATGCACGACGCTGCTGACAGGGATGCCATACAGATTTATGTCAAAAAATTATGTCAAAAAACCCAAACTATCCCTTTAATGTCAAACTGTAGAGCACTCCTGGCAAAGCAATACCATCTCCATGACGACCAACCAAAAACATATATAACAGATCACAACCATTATAATATGATTAAAAGCTCATTAAAGTCCATTTTATTTGTTTACTTTAACTTTCATCATGTTTTCCTTATTTTCCACCCTCCCTCATGTACTTTGGTTTGTGTTTCCAGGACTCAGAGTGGGCTCGTGTTCAGACCTCCAGTGGGACGTTCCTGAGCAGGGCTGTGATTGTCTCCTGTCCCCCTCATTTGGCAGGTCAGTGTCCCAGTCTGCGACCTCTGCCAAGGCACTAAAGCACATCTTCATTCATGCACAAGGCAAACTATTCTCAAATGTGCTTCACCAATGCACCGAACACTGATTCCACAGACACGCTTTCTTGGCTCTTACTTTGCTATGTACTGTCTGCATCGAATTCTAAAGGATTTTTATTATTCAGATTCAAATTAGTTTAATGTCAATTCTTCATACGAAACATATGCAGAATCGAAATTGTGTTTCGCACTTACAAGTGTATAAATAAATAATAATAAATGGAAAAGTCCAAGTGTTCTTTGGGGCTTTTCTGAATCTCTAACAGTGCTTGTCGACTGTACTTAAATTCCAGCATAGACTGACGGGAAAAAACATTTAAACAAACATATTTTTGACAAAGAAAATGCCGCACTATTGGGACCGCTGCATCTGTTATTAGGAGAGGTGTTAGCTTTACCATAACGGCAAAAACAGAAAGTTGTTAAAAGCCTTTATAAACTCATCGTGGTGAATAATTAAGATGCTTAAAAAAGAATGCGCTAAAAAGTGAAAAACTCTGGACTGCTTCAAACCAATGAACCAAAAATGTTCAGAATGTGGGGAAAATTTTTTAGGGGGAATGTATTTGATAAAATCAGAGACCAAGAACAGACATTTCCTCTTCAAATACAAGTTCTAGTAATAACAATAGAACAGAGAACGACAGACTGTTAACATCACATATGAACAGTTCTTCAGATAAATATAGCATAAACAGCAGAACAGAACAAGTTACCAAATTCTGCATCTCACTTCAAATCATTGAAATCCACTGAATTCATCATCCTCTGTGTCACTTTTGAGCAACTCTGTGACCTCTGGAGGTAAACAGAGCGCCGCTTCCTCTTCTGCTTATCTGTCGCCAGACTCAGCATCAGTTCCAGTTAGAATTATTTCGACCTTTCTGAATCCTGACAGGATGGTTTCAGTTGTCTTTATGTTTGTTTAAATTTTAACTTGTCAGTGGTACAGCAGTAAAGGTGCGATCGACTGACATGATACCAGACAGGACAGTGGCTCTTTCTCTTTCTTCTGCTGCCGACATGCGCAGTAGAGCGAAGTGACATTGGTACATGAGCACACAAGCCTAGAGCGCCCTCTGTTAGTGTGAAAATATTAACATATAAGTCGCACTGGAGTCACAGGACCCCTTCAAACCATGAAATAAAGTGCAACTTGTAGTCTGAAAAACATGGTACTCAAACATATGTTAATGACACAAAACACCAGGTATGTTTTTGACGAGTTAAAAACATTCTAACACGGCTTAAAGCTCACAATTTTATGTAATACAGGAACTTTAAACACAGATAAAGTGTCTCTGTCTACCAGATCAGATCAATTTTCATCCATATTCCAAAACAGACATCATTTTGAGTGTAGACGATGTGTTTTTCAGCGTGGTGGCAGTCACTTTGTCTCCTAATGTGGGCCTGTGGCTGAGTATCAGTGGATCAGATCTTGACAGAGTAGCAGAGAGGGTGTTGAAGCCGGGAGTTGAACTGAGGGCTAATGTGACATGTTTGGGTCAGTGCGGAGGGAAGTGCGTGGTGCCAAATACGTCATCGTCAGCTCAGAGAAAACACAATCTCAGAGGACAAATGAACCCAGGCTACACAGACCTGCTCCAACCACTCTGGAGTTCATACTAGAACTATAGAGGGGATGTGTGCTGTTGGCTGAATCTGTGGTTCTCAATATAGAGAGTTGAGAATGACAGTGGTTATTAAAGTGATAATATGTGCACTTCTAGAGGTGGTGTCATGTTTCCATGGAAATGAAAAGTTACTGTACTTCGGAATAGGGATGGACATGATTAGTCGACTAATCATAGTAATTGATCATTAAGAATTTCATCGATTACATTCATTTCTAATTGACAAACCGAATTTAGATTTCTGTGCGTAGATACAAAGCTGCTGCGTCTTACACAAACACTGGAGTTGCAGCCTCAGTCCCACGTTTGGGCTCTGACACCTCCTTGGAGACACTGCACCACTCCGTGTGTGTTTACATGCACATCAGTGTCCCTGTTTCGTCATGGTGCATGGTGTTTATGCAGTATCCCGGTTACTGCAACATAAAGAGCTGCGCTAAACCTGCACACGTACGATCTTTGAAAACATCGCGACAAACACAGAACAGACTCACCTTCAGCATCAACACCCCTTTGTGACAGAAAGAACAAATATATTCCACTGAGTCGTGTCCTTTAGTCTGACAGAAGCTGAACCGCATCATTTTTTCCCTCCGCTTAGTTTATGCAAATTAGCCATGTGGTTTTAAGTTTCATTTCTGTAACACTTGTGCAAAGCTGAATTAAACACAATCTAATCTCAAACGGGATGATAGTGGTCATGGTTTATATGTTTTAAAGTTGAGTTTATTTATGCAGATTAGTAAAAGTAATAATAATTATGATACTTATTATAGAAAAACATGAATGATTAATCAAAGATTTATTGTTAATTCTCCCAGTGATCGATTAATAAAATGCCATTGATTGCCCATCCCTACTTAGGAACATTCTCAATGGAGATAAACACTTTTTATTCCATACTGTGGAATATTATTGATACCACACTGCAATGGTGTGGTTGAGCAGCTTTTGAAACTCTTTTGTTTTGTTGTTTTTTGAGCTCAATTTTTAACATCATATCACGTTTAACCAACTAAGAAGTGCAGCATGTCCAGTTCAAAGGACAAGGAAGGGACTGTTGGATTTTGTGAAATTAACACATCACTTTTTCCCATATCCATGGCAACCATGCAAGAGGCTCTAGCTAAGGCCATTTGAGTTGCTAATGTTTGTTTTTTTTACACCATATGTGGCAGCAAATACGGCAGACCTTTCGAGGTAATACCTTTGATGGAATGAACACAAGAAACTGTTTGTTTATCCCATGTCCATGGAGAATGTGCAAGAGGCTAGCTCCTGAGTTTTTAGACTTACGACATATTTTTTGTATGTTTGTCACTATATTAAAAATTCATAAATAAATAAATAAAATAAATTTTAAAAAAAATGTTTTAAAGCAGACATGTCAAACTCAGGCCCAGGAGCCCAATTTTGCCCATGATATAATTATATTTGACCCACGAGATTAAATATTAATTATATATTAGAGATGCCCCGCTGACTACAGATAGAGTACAGAGACATTATTTATTTAAAATTGTGTTTTTATTTTATATTATGCTTGTTCTGGATTCAATGATTAAGCAAAACTATTATTACACATTTAATAATAAAAGGTTTAACATTATATATCTGGAAAGAAGAGAAAACATGCAGATGTTGTTGAAAGTTTACAGTAAATATTTAGTTTGGCCCACAACTTAGTCCCAGTTTTTAATTTTGATCCTCTGTGAATTAGAATTTGACACGCGTGTTTTAAAGAGATCACAGCTGAAAAAAGTTGAGAACCTGTAGAGCTGCATGTGAAGAGAGAATGAAAGTGATTGTGAAAGATTAGAAAGTCATATGTTATTAGATAGAACAAAACAAAAAAACACACATTAGCATTATGTAGTTGATTGTAGTATGATTATTTTCTTCAGTAGCAAATTATAAAAGCACAAGACATAAGCTATAAAAGTATCCAGGAGAACTAAAAACAAACAAAAAAGTTTGCTAAAACCTTTGTTGACTTGACAGTAGCTGGCTATCATTTAGAACTGTATTCCATTTAGAGTGTCCACAGCTGCTCTGTCAGAATCAATGGCCAAACTCCATGCTTTGCTTACAGTGATAAAAACACAGTATTCACAGCCTCCTCCATTCCAATGGTGGTCCACCTGCTCTGGTAAATAATGGGCTTGTTCCACTGGCTTTCCTCCAGGCGCGTGTTCTGCCTCCAAACAGACTGTTACGGTGAGAGGACAACGTAAAAGCAAATGGGTCCACTTCAGATCAGTGTAGAAAAGCCTCCACACTGTACACAGATTCTGTTTTTGTAGCTGCCTGGCTTTTGGAGCCAAGTTTTTAAAATCACATCGTGGGATTTTAACTAACTAAGAAATACAGCATGTGCAGCTCAAAGGACACATGGAAGGGACTGTTGGCTGTTTTTCCTTTAACTATGGAGAACGTGCAAGAGGCTAGTTAAAGAGCTAGGAAAAGCTTTTTACTAGGGGTGTGCAACAATATCTAAATATCGATATATTGTGTTGTTTAATGTGATTATACAGTATCGATATTGTGGCCAGCTGTATCGATATATCGCCAAGAGTATTTCTTGGTATATTTTATGTAGGAGATAGGACTGGTGCACGGTGTGGTTGAGGGTGTGGGTGTATTGCTCTGGTGCAGAGGGGGCGGGGCTCACGCGGGCAGGTGCGCGTGCATGTGCCTGTGGAAGGATTTAAAAGTGTGCACTTACCTGTTACCCAGTTTTGACTGAGGGTCAGGGCTGGGTAGCTGTAATTTTTGTTGACCGCCACTCCTTTTCTATACTCACCCTTTATTCTCTAACTGGTTCTATCCATCTTCTTCTCTGCGCTGGGATAGCTGTATGTCTGTTGGATAATATACAAAATGCATTCTGGATTTGCAATAGCCTTCATGCACGCGTCACAACCTACGACTCTAGGACCCACTCTGATCTTCCCGAGCGGCTATAAGGTTGGTCAATAAGCCGCTACATTTTACTAACAGCCATGATTTAGACTTTATTTTTTATTGAACCGTATTGAACCGATTTGAAATAGGGACACTTTGCGGGACACTTTGGCTCTTCCACAGGATCTGCAAACCCTCCCTGAACAGTCCTCCTGTTAAACTGCACTGAGACCTTTGACTGAAACACAAAGGACACTGAGAGGCACAGTGGAAATGCTGCAGCAAAACTTGAATTTCCCTCGGGATCAATAAAGTATCTCTCTCGCTCTCTCTGTCATTAAACTTCTCATATTCACGGTTTTGCTAAACTTTGGGGTTGACAGTATTGACTGAAAGTATT